CGGCTCTTAAGACCCCAAATATTTACCTTCGGTGCTTTGTAGCAAAACTTTGCTGACCTGGAACTGTAAGGTGATTTCACCAGAGTGAGGAAGATAAGCACCATGAAAATAAATGCTGAACAATTAGTGAGTGAACAAAGGACTTAGTTAATTATGGAGGATGATTCTCTTGGAATCCAGGCAGAGGGCCTAGTGTACGCTAAGCTGTGGGGCCAAGAATTAGTACCAGTTCTCTGGTAATGGGACAGAATACAGGATGGGAACTGTACTTCAGGTGAAGGGTCCAGCATAGGTAGAGAAGCCTGAGGGAAGGAAGTGGGCTGGGTACCGGGCACAGCCAACCACACTGAACTTTCATGTGCACTTGTTGAAGCCAGTGGGAAGAAGGTGGAGATGTTTGAGATCAGCTTTTCTGGGGCCTGGAAGGAGCGTTATCAAGGAGTTGGGACTTTGTCCTGTGAGTGCTGGAGAGTTACAGGAGCTGTCAGTGGAGGATCCAGAGAGACCCAGGAAGACTAGGAATGCAAGATCCTGGGAAGGCCACTGACTGTAGTCCCACCTCTCAGGGCTAGGCCTGAAACTGGGATGTGAGCAAACTCCACTATGTAGAAACTGATGAGCCAGGTACCTGGAGGAAATAGAGGACAGGGAGTTAAATATGAACTCTGGATAAAACAAAACAAAACATATTTAATAGTAAGCATAGTCCAATTTGCAGATACAAGATGATATCCTATTTTTCTGAAATCTAGATTTTACTGCTTGCCTAGTGTTTTCATTGAATAAATCTAGCAATCCATTTGTTTAAGGATACTGGTTGAGCTTGGCTCTTGATTGGTGACTTCAAGACCCCAAGTGTGTGCTTGAGAAGCAAGGATGACAAGGTGGATGGCTGGATGCCAGCAGTGTGAGGACCACAGGACCCAATCTTTTGGCTTATAGGAAAAGAAATGAAGGTTTAAAGAATGGAAGAGCCTAGCTCCAGGTGACCAGCCAGGCTTGGTTCTGGAATTCTACCTCTTGCTGTGATATCTTGACAGGAAGTTCTGGCTCTTGAGGGGGTTAGGGTGGGTCTGGGACAGCTGTGAAGCAGGCCACAGGAGAGCCCCCAGAGCTTGTGAGCAACTTCTGGAACTTTCCAAACCAGTCAGGTCCCAGCAGGGGATGTAGTGTGTGTTTACCAGCGCATCCCTTGCTCCTTCCGTGCCTCAGTTCATCCAGCCATAAAGTGGGACTAATTACACCCACCTCCCAGCTGAGTTGCTAGGGATTAATTAACGTTTGTAAAGGCTTTGTGATCCTTGGATGAAAGGCGTTCCTTACATATAAAGGGTCATTATTTTTATTATTATTATACAAGTGCCAAGTATTATTACCTTAATTAGCTTTTCTAGATATCAGAAGCAATTAGAGGGATCACTTGCTGAATGCCACTCTAGAAACCTAAGTCATAGAAACTGGTACAATTGTTTGTCAGCTCATTTTCTGGCTGGGTGCTGGCATAGGCCACAAGAGAGGGCTGAGATTTGTAGGAGAAATTTGATTTTGGAACTAGTCAAGATTCACTCTGTTGAAATTTACAGGTATTTAAAGTTCCTTAAAAACATTTTTTTTTTAAAAAAAAAAGTGGAAATGTCCTTTTAAGCAGGTGTGCGTGTGTGCGTGTGTGCGTGCGTGTGTGTGTGTGTGTGTGTGTGTGTGTGTGTGTGTTGGAAGTTGTAGGGAGTTTGCAGAGTGGCTTGGGCTGGGATGGAAAAATGCCCTGTGTTCCTTCTATTCAGAAAAAATAAGGCTTTAAGCCTTCATGCATATTTGATGGCGTCTACCATGGGCTAGGCCCTACACTGTGGGCCTACATTGTTTCCACAACTCCATGCAGTAGACAGGAACTTTTTGACTCTTATTTTATCAGTGAGGATGCTGTGGCTCAGACGGGTGAGGTGACAGTGAGGCAGGACAAGTAGAGAATACAAATACACATCCAGATTTGACGCCACTCCTTGCTTTAGCCCAGCCCTTAAGTAGTCAACAGATTTGTTGTTCTTTCAGGGACTGAATGGTAGCATACAGGGTTGACAGGCTCACGCAGTGCTTAGGGAGGCTAAACCTGCTCAGTCTTTGAATCTAACATGGCGTTTGCCTCTGGAGGGTCTTTAGAGTTGGCTTAGAACCTTAGGGAACAAGTAGAGGAGGGAACTGTGTTCTCGATGTGCCTATTAAGGCAGGTAGGACAGGCCGGGGCAGAATCAGCGGGGTGAGGCTTCCTCTGTGCTGTCCAGTTAGCTGGGTGGGTACAGAGCTGGCTGTAATTAACTTTACCAGCGTCCTTAGCATAGGTGAGAGGACCTTTCCCCCACTTCCCTTTCTACTCTGTCCAGCTTCCTTTGTGGCTACATGGACCCTCCCAAAGCTGTGACCAGGCCAGGGAATACTGGATTGATTTTCATTTCAAGTGTGTTCTGAATTGAGCTTATATCTCAGATCTACATACAACCCTTTTTTCTGTGTATGGACTTCCCTTGGGGGCTGGTTGAGGACAGTGTTGAGTTCAATGGGTGCATTTAGAGGTATAGGTTGTTAACAGTACAAGGAGAGGTTCTTTAATGGATGGATAGATGAGGTAGTGGATGTGTGTCATAGATTAGACATGGATGCATGGCTGTATGCTTGCATAGATTTAGGGGAGCAGAGACCATTAGGTAGAAGGGTTGCTATGTGGGTTTTCCTAGTTAATGGGAGAGGTAGAGAATGCACAGAGAAGTTGGAAATTTTGGTGAATGGGTGGCAAGTTTGGAGAAAGAAGGGCTGGTAGGTGAGGAGTTGGAGGAAAGGAAGATATTGATAAATGTCTGAAGAAGTTGGTGGGTAGATGGAAACATTGGGAGATGTATGAAACCTGGGCTGTGGAGAGAGAGAATGTCAGATGGAGAAGAGGTTATGAAATACAGGCACCAGTTAATGGATGAGGGAGATTGGCTGAACGACTTGGTTATGAGGGTGGGGAAAAATCTGGCCCATAAGAGGGTTGGTTGGATAGAAGTGGAGTTGGCAGCTGGGGATAGGGGCTGCTAGACAGATGAGGCATGGGCGAAATCCTGGACGTTTGATGGATAGATGCTTTGATGGACAAGTAGAGGTAGCAAACAAAGGCTGACAGGCGAGTCAATGGAGGAGGCAGCAGATAGGATAAAGTATTGGCAGGTGTAGAGAGCAGTTGGCAAGAGCTGAGGAGATGCAGAGAAGCAGAGGGGTAGGCGGAAGGTGGCTAGTGGGAGGGTAGAAAGCTTGACTGAATGATGGAGAAGTTGGCACTGTGGCCTGGCCATCAGCTTGGACAGGTAATAAGACATGCCCAATGGGTTGCTGTGACCAGCCTCTCCTCACATCTTCCCCTCCCCTCCCCCCAGAGTCAGGCTTTCCCCAGGCTCATAAATCCCCAGTCCGGCAGGCTTTCTATAATTATCCCAGAACAGTAGCTCAAGGGGTGGGGCAGGCAGGGCTTGAAGAAAGGAGCTGACTCAGAGGCAGACGTCCGTCTTTAAGTGGTGTGTCAAATGTGGCTACCGGCCAGCAAGCCAGGACCAGCACCCAAGGCTCCACCTTTCCCACTGGCTGTCTTGATCCCCACTTTGGATGCCCCCATAGAATGTAGGCTCTTCTTTTCCTTCTTTCCTGTTTCTATTTGTTTTGGTTCAACTCTTGTCTTCTTTCTTTTGTGTCTTGCTCATTTTCTCTCTGTCTTGTATCTTTGGGTGAGTTTTCTTTTACTGTCTCCATTTTCTCTCTTCCTCCTCTCTGCTGCTTTCTTCAATCCGATCAGTTTTTTTTTCTGACTCTTTCTTTCTGCTCGTTGCCTCTCTCTGCCCCTTGCAGCAGGAGTCTGCCCTCTATCATCCTGCAACAGAAGACGCACTCCGTCGTTGTGGATCTTCACACAGAAGCAGCCTGGATATGGTGGGGTTTGATTAAGGCCCAAAATAAAGTCTCAAGAAAACTTTGCCCTTCCTTTATTGATTCAAAGACGAAAAGCCATTGAGATCCTTTAGCCCAGTGGTTCTCAACCTTCCTAATGCTGCAGCCCTTTCATACAGTTCCTCATGCTGTGGTGACCCCCAACCATAAAGTTATTTTGTGGCTACTTCATAACTATAATTTTGTTACTGTTATGAATCAATGTAAATGTCTCTGATATGTAGGATATTTGATACCATGACCCACAAAGGGGTCACGACCCACAGGTTGAGAACAGCTGCATTAGCAAGATCTGGAGAAGCAAAATTAAAGAGACACCACCCTTCCTCTGTAGACCATAGGCACTGGCAGGAGAAAGGCCTTTTCCTGAAGCTGTTGAGGAGGATATTGGGGACAGGAGCCTGGCACAAACACAAGTGTTAACCTGGTTTTGAGTGAACTGTCTCAGAAGACCCAGTTTTTTTTTTTTAAATACCACAGTAGGCAAGAGTGCTTTGGAGTTTGAGAGGGCCTAGAATCAAACTCCAGCCCTGGCACCATCCATCCCTGATCCTTACAGAAGGCCTTCCTGTGGGGTGGCTGGAGTGAATTAAATAAGGACCCTGGACCAAAGTCCTTGTAGCCATGAAGAGCAGACCCAAAACAGATGCAAAACACTCAAAATAATGCCAAGTAAAGGTTTTATCGGAGGGTCTGGTTCTCCTCAATGTGGGGGCTGATCATACAATCTATAGGAGGCTGTTGCTTCCATGTTTGGGCCTGAAGCCAACAGAGCTTGGGAAAGCAAGCAATCAAGCCAGGAACTAGAGAGGGACGCCAATGGGAACCTCAGGTGGGACATGCAGGTGACAGAGTCCACACTGGTCTCTCATTCTCCTTAGTCTCCCTCTTTGAAGGTGTTTGTGGTCTGCTGGGGAAGCTGATGCCTGTTTCTAAGCCACTCTATCCGATGGATCCAGGGTTGAGGAAGTTGGAAGCCTGGGAGAAAGCAGAAGAGCCTGTAGGACTGGGACTGCCTCAGTACAACCAGGAGACCTTGTAGACCAGCAAGGAGCTTATCACCACAGCTAACTGGTTTGTGTTGCTCATGTTGGTATCTGTGTCTGTGTCTGTGTGTGTGTGTATCATGTGTGCACACGTGTGTACACATGCTTTGCCATCCCTGTCTCCTCCAGAGTACGGGAGAAGTCCAGCTGCGCTCTGACACTAACACATCCTTTGGTGTCTAAGCTGTTTTTGCTGAGTACAAAAGCCACCACAAGCCTCCCCCACCCCCAGTGGCCAGGCTATTTGGGCCTTTAATATATTTTCTCTTGGATTGCTCTTCATATTTTTATGAAGGACATTGCAAATATATGCATCTTGTCTCTAAAAAGTTTTAAAAAACTTCATTTGCTTTAGTTAAGAAATATCACATATATTTATCTTGTTCAACATGCTGTTTTTGTTCTCTTTTCTTTCTTTCTTTTTTTTTTTTTTTTTGAGACAGAGTTTTTCTATGTAGCTTTGGCTATCCTGGAACTTGCTTTGTAGACCAGGCTGGCATCAGATTCACAAAGACCTACCTGCGTCTGCTTCCCAAGTGCTGGGATTAAAGGCGTGTGCCACCATGCCTGATTGCTCAACATGCTATTTGAATGGATGCGTGTATCCTGGGATGGGTAGATTGGGGTCATTAACATATACAGTACCTCACATACTTTCTTTTGAGGTGAGAACCTTAAAATCTACTCTCATACCAATTTTCAAGAGTGAAATATATTGCTATTAACTATAGCCACAGGTGAACTTTCTTTAACTTTTCTCCTTTTAACGGCCCAATGTGAATTCTGGACTGAAGTTAGCCTGCTTCTTTTCTTATGTGCTTTAGAGCTTTAAGCTAAATGTTATATTGCTAAATAAATATTCCACAGTGTCCTTTAAACTCATCAGGTGGGTCTAATGCACAAGTGGGCATGGACGTCACTTGTCCATGATGACAGTGACTAGACACAACAGGGTTTACACAGGGCTCGCATGAAATAGGCACTTAAATCCCAGGACTGGAGAGGATCAAGGTAATGTGTCTAATAAGGGATGGGTCCTCCATCTGGCCCAAGTACTATAATACTATTGTATCATGTGGCTTTTGAGAAGAAGGACAAGGAATGGGTATAGTGGCCAACTTCTTTTGCCTCTGTATATGTGTGTGGTGTATATGTATATTTGCATATATATATATACATATATGTATATATATATATGTATATGTGGAAGCTAAGGGACAGTCTTGGTTGTTATTATTCATGTGTCACTGATCCTGTTTTTGGGACAGGAGCAGTAGGCTAGGCTGGCTAGCTAGCAAGCCCCAAGGGCGTGCTTGATCTCACTCCTCTCCAGTGCTGGCATTATAAGCATGTGCCTGGCTTTTTGGTATTGGTTCCAGGACTGAATTCAGAGACTCCTGTTTGCAAGGCAAGCACTTTTCTGATTGAGGCATCTCTCCAGCCCAGATACAGATGATTTTTAAAAATCTATTCATGAGAAAGAATGCAAGACAGAGCTGGGTTTAAGCATCCCCTCCAGATTCTGCACCCCTTCATTTGTTCCATCTATAGCATGCTCAGGAGACAGTACATTTTACCTCTAGGGGTATGACTGTGGCTGTGGCTGGCCTAACCCAGTTCCAGTGGCAAGCTTGGGTTGTGGATGGAAACGGGGGTCGGGGGTACAGGGAGAGGAATTGTCTTGTGTATCGGTTGGCTTGACATTAAAAATCTATGCTCCCTTTGTGTGTCTAGGAAGAGCTTCCTGTGGGGTAGGAACTTCCCATTTAAGGACTGTGCTTCCTTCTGTGTACGGTGTTCAGGAGTGGATGTGATTCATCACTTCCTGGACAAGGAGTTTCAGTAGGGAATGGAACAGTAGTTCTCAACCTGTAGGTTGCAACCTTGCGGAGGGTGTCACATATCAGATATCCTGCAGGTCAGATATCCTGCAGGTCAGATATTCACACTATGATTCACAGCAGTAGCAAAATTACAGTAGCAATTAAATAATTTTACAGTTGGGGGTCACAGCACAAGAAGCTGTATTAAAGGGGCGCAGCATTAGGAAGGTTGAGAACCACTGAAGTAGAGCTTCCTGACTTGCCTGCTCCTCTGCTGAGGAGCTGCTAACAGTCAGTGTGACCCTGGAGCCTCATGCTGTCTATGCCGGGGGCTGTATTGGCTTGGGGCCCAGGGGTTAAGTGCAGGAGTCTTCCACCCTCACCAGCCAGCAGCTAGACAGTCTTGGGTTAGACAGTCTCTTGAGAGGAAATAAACTCACACAGCAAGAAGAAGCTATTAGAGTTTGTGTATCACAGTGTCTGGTGGTACCCTAGCCCAACAGAACTCAAATCATGGCCCTTGCAACAAGATCAGCAGTATCTCCTTGGAAGTCATTAGAAGTGCAGATTCTCAAAGACCACTCTACAAGACAATCTGAAAACTCAGACTAAGCCCGATCCCAAGTTCTAACTCAAGTTAGAAATCCCTGTCCCAACCCACTCACTACTTCATGTATAGCTCCTGAGTGGAACTCAGCCTTCCAGCTTCTCATCTGGCTTCTTACCCTTCCTCAAGACGACCCCTGCTTCCTAGGCACCTTCCATAGAAGACAGTAGTAATACCTGCTCTAGTAGTGTTTTAATTAAAAAAATTAATTTAGGGGCTGGAGAGATAGATAGCTCAGTGCTTAGAAACACTGTTTGCTCTTCTAGAGGACTGGGGTTCAATTCTCAGTACCTACATGGCAGCTCACAACTGTCTGTACTCCATTCTAGGATATTCAACACTCTCTCTTGGCTTCCTTTGGTACCAAGCACACACCTATGTTGCTTAGACATTTAGGCAGACAAAACACCCGCATACAAATAAATACATACATAAAAATTTTAATTCACTGGGCGGTGGTGGCGCATGCCTTTAATCCCAGCACTTGGGAGACAGAGGTAGGCAGATTTCTGAGTTCGAGGCCAGCCTGGTCTACAGAGTGAGTTCCAGGACAGCCAGGACTACACAGAGAAACCCTGTCTCGAAAAAAACAAAAAAAGAAAAAATTTTAATTCAATTTGATTTTGTGTGGATGAATGTTTTACTTGCATGCATATCTGCACAACACTTGTGCTCCCAGTACCCACAGAGGCCAGAAGAGGGCATCAGATTCCTTGGAATTGGAGTTCTAGATGGTTTGTGAGTTATCATGTGAGTGCTGGGAATCGAACCTGGGTCCTGTGGAAGAACAGCTGGTGCTCTTAACTGCTGAGCCATCTTTCATGTAAATCTTGACCTGAAGGCAGCCTGAGATGGTTCACTGACTCTATCCCTACTTTGTCTTTCTCTTGACAGCTACAGAGAAGCATTGAACTCTTCTCACTTCCAAACCTGTGTCTACAGGTGATTGGTCTTCTGTAGACGGAACTTTGAACTTCAGCCTCATTATCCCCGTGATAGAATCACACCAGGCATCCAGGAACTTTTGCTTGCCGTTTTATTAAATATACTAAACATAGATTTCTGTTTGATTTACGTCTGTGTCTGTGAATTCAAGATATCCTACAGAGAGCGAGTGAATGAGCTAATAGTGCCAGTCAGCTTACTGAAACACGTAGGCAAGATGTTGTACATCTTGCACGGGCTTGGATCTCTCCAGAGGGAGGAAACATTTTCTGCAAAGGAGCTGGTACCCTGCTGCAATTTCTGTAATTGTTTGCAGTAGGGAACCACATGGCCACAGTGCTCATGGGCTCTGTGAGTTAGGATGGTGGTTCTCAAACTTGAACATGTGTTAAGATCTCTGGTAACACACAGGCTCCTGTGACCCACCCCTAGAGTTTCTGATTTGGTAAGTCTGGAGTTGGGCCAAAATTTTATATTTGTAACTTTTTTTGTATTGTAAATTTTCAGATGTGGCTGCTCTCTAGACACCACTCTATAAAGCACTGGATGAGGGTAGTACCAATATGGTACCAGATAATGCCCCCATCTGTCAGCAGCCTAAGTCTGTGAAAGTATTCTCATTTATTAATGGGGGAATAGCTGAATACATGGCAATATGTTGTATGGTACAATAATTGAGAGGAATCAGATGGGAATGAATTGAATCCAAGTATCAACAGAGAAAGGTAATTTGTCAAATAATTTATACAGCATCATCCCATGTTGGTAAAACAAACCCAAAATCAATAATACATTTCTTCAAACCTTGAATCCTATATCAGCTGAGCAAAGAGAGTAGACCATACCTGGAATAAAAGTACCATTGGAAGTTAAGGGAGAACAGCTTACTAACAGTCTTCCTGCTTGGCTTAAGAAGATGAGAGTAATTTTAAAATTCAAGAAACAATAAAAACTACTTTAGTATCCTTAAAGAGACAGTTGGGAGCCTGCTTTGTTTCTCCCTTAGAGGAGATGGGAAACATCCCTTCTTTTCTATCTACAGGTGAAATGATATTTTCTTCTTGGGATCTGGGCAAGGCCAGATGAACAAATCATACAGGAGGTTCCAACCAGTAATGCACTGGGAGTCCAGCCACTCCATGCTACTTCAAGATGTTCCTGGATGTAGGAGGTATGTATTACACCAGTACAATCTTGCCATTGTGGGTCCAGGACAAGTGGATCCCAGTGGTTCATTTCCGAAAACTGGCTGGTCAATGATTTCAGCACTGCTGGGCAAGAAAGTGTTTCCTCCTCAGGGGACAGAAGTAAGTAAGACCCAAAAACTCACATCTCATGCTCACAAGTAGCAAGAGGCACTGGTCCTAGCATGGGTACTGAAGACATGGTGCCTTCAGGTTGGAGGTGAGGGCAGACAACTTCAGATGGTCAAGGCTGACTTTAGACTCCACTTAATTGTACTTTTGGACTGTCTCAAGTAGCTGCTAGGTGCAAGGGCCTTGGGCTATGTGTTGGGGTCTCTGCCAACCCTGCATAGTGTTGACAGTCAGGAAGCCCGGGTTGCATTTTAAGACCATACTTGTCATCTGGTCCCTTATGGGAACAGAGAAAGGAAAACCTGTTTGAGATCCAGTGTTACTTACCCAGTATAGAAATTCAGGAGCTTTGGTCTTTGTGGGAAAGACAAGCAGAAGAGACAGTTTCTGCCACTGGGTGGGATTCCCCCAAAAAAGTCCATAGTGCTGGGATAGGAAACCCTTTCCTAGGAAACTAATTCAAGAACAAATTGATTTAACATCCCAGTACAGGCGATTGAGAGCACTGAATTGAACACTTAGATCTCATTTCTATTAAGTACCACCATAGGCAGGCATCCTGAGCAGTTGAAACACTGAATGATTTTCTCTTTATAGCCATTCTCTGAAATAAATGTTGCTAGAGTCTGTGTTGCCAGTGGGGAAACTGAGGTTCAGAATCTTCTGTGGCTAGAAAGTGCTGCACAGGCTCTGAGCTGGTACTTTCATGACATCTTCCTTAAACTGCTTCAAACTCAGTCCGTGTTCCACCTACCAATAGGGTTGATATCAGTCAGTTTCTGGCCAAGGAATAGAACGTTTTTCTAGGAATTTTAAAGAGTGAGAATTTAATATAGAAAGTGAGTTAGGTAAGTTAGATCTTAGCAAGAGGAGGTAGCTGCTCCCATCTCTCATCCACCACTTCCTCCCATCCCAGGAGTCCAGGCTCTTCCCAGAAAGTTAAACCATGATGATTTATATGTAGTGGAGGATACTATGCCAGACACAGAGTCACTGCTAGAGATGCCACAGGAGACAGAAAGAGGGAGGAGGCATGGGGGTTCTCCCTTCTAATGAATCTTATTGATTGACACTACTCTTCCTCTTGCCCTCTCTCTTCTTCCTTTCCTCCCCTCCCTCTTACCCTCTATCCCTCTGACCCTTCCCTCCCACCTTCCTCCTCCTTTCCTTTCTCCCTCCCTCCTTCCCTCCTCACTTCCTTTCTCACTCCCGTCCTTTCAACAGTGTATCACTTGGGTTAAAATGAGAAATACGCCCCACTAGCTCACATATCTGAATGCTTGATTCTCAGTTGGTGGTGCTGTTTGGGGATGTCACAGAGGCTTCAGGAGGTTATAGTCTTGCTGGAGGAAGTAGTGTCTGGAAGGAGGCTTTGGGATTTCATAGCTTTATTTATTCTCTGGCTCTTCTTAGTCTGTACTTGAACATGCGATCTCACAATTTCTTGCTCCAGCATTGGTGGACCATTCTCACCTCTTCCATTATGGACTCTCTCTCACGAGAACCATAGGCCAAAATAAACACGTCTATAAGGTGCCTTTGGCCATGATGTTTTATCACAGCAGTAGAAAACAATGAATACAGCAGCAGCCTATGCTGGATTAGAACTCACTCTATAGACTAGTCTGACCTTGAACTCATGGTAATCCTGTTGCCTCTCAGTGTTTAGGAATGCAGTTTTTTTTTTTTAATGTGCATTGGTGTTTTGCCTGCACACATGTCTGTCTGAGGGTATCAGATTCTCCAGAACTGGGATTACAGGCAGTTGTGAGCTGCTATGTAGGTACTGGGAATCGAACCCAGGTTCTCTGGAAGAGCAGCCAGTGTTCTTAACCACTGAGCCATCTCTCCAGCCCCCTCCTGTTCATTTTTTGATGGTGATCTTCCTTTTGCCATTCTCTTTTCTGTCTCTGTGTCCTTTCCTTCTCCCTACACATCTACACGTCTATAGGAAAGACCTATAACAAAACGGAAGTGAAAACTTTGATAAAGATTCTCAGAGTGTGCCTAAAGTAGCATTTATAGCCTTAAAAGTTCACGGTGAACTGAAGATGATAGACGGGGAAAACCAATTGAGAAAATCAGAAGCTCAGGAAAGGAGGTGCCAGCTCCAGGAAATGTAGCAGCAAGGGTGAGTGTGTTAAGGACGATCAGCCGACGGAGAGCACAGGGTCCAAAAGTGCGAGGAAAGCAGAGGAGGTCCTGAGGGTGGACACCACGGGCAGTGGAGGGGTAGCTGAATCATTTTAACCGGATCTCCTTAGAACTGTTTCGAAAAGTATACTTTTATGAAGATCATAATTTACCAAAACTGACTCGAGGAAAAAAAAACCCAGATTTATAAGCATTATCTTGCCATTTCAGATCAAATTTATAATTAATGAATAAGGAACCGGAGGCCCAGAGACAAGAAAGCAAACTGCTCGGTGTCTGCAGCTGGGAAGGGGTGGAGGCAGAGCCAGGTTTGTCTGAGTGTGAGGACTCTTCCTCCCATGTGGGGCGGGAGCTGGTGGGGCCTCTGCTGGGAAATTCCCCGGAGACGCCTGCTTATTGGGTTGCTCAATTAGCAGCACGTTCAATGCACCTCTAGGAGAGGCATTTGGCACCTGAATTTCCCTTGAACATTTCACCATCACCGTCTCCAATTACCGCACATGCGAGCAGCCTCGAGCTGCTGGGAGATTGTCCAATACCGCCCAGCAGAGAGGAGCAGGGTGCGCAGCTGAGCCTCTGCCGGGGCTCTTTGACTCAGCAGACTGCCAGCACAGGACTGTCCAGTGTTTGCCTCCGTCTGTGCGTGCAGCCCAGGCCTGTGACACAAGCCTTCCAGAAGCCCTCATCTTACAGAGATGCGAGGAAGCTTAGAACTGGAATTGTGATAGGGGGAAGGGTTGGTGTTGTGACTTGGATAAGTTTTTCTCTCAAAGCCTGTGTGTTAAGTGGCTTGATCCCTAGGGTAGCATTGTTGAAAGAGGTACAGCCTTTAGGAGATGGCCTTGTCACAGGCTTAAAACAGAGTCAAGCAACCATGGATCAGAACGTCTTAAACTAGAAACCAAAGTGAACCTCTTCTATTTATAAACTTATTATGGTAGGTACTTCGTTATAGTAACAGAAAGTTGACCTACGCAATTGAGGACTCAGTGGCAAACCTTAACCTAAACAACCTCATGAAGGGGCATCTATCATGTGTCTGGTGTATATCCTTATAACCTCTCTTTTGAGGCTGTTATTCCTCTTTCCTACCCGTCTGGGGTTACAATAGGGTTACCAAAGACAGACTCCTATCATAACATGGCTAGGGGACAGAAGCCAGTTGGAGCCCTTGCTTCATGTGTGAACAAACGAACAAAACTCCATTTTGTTTGGGTTGGCCAAATAGGAACGGAGTAAGCCTGAGTTTCAGGAGGCCTCCTCATCTCCCTCTCCATCATGACGGCTAAGGAAGGGGGCGCGGCCCACAGAGGCAGAAGAAGCTCAGAGAAAAGTTGAGACACCTGAAAATCCCACTTGAACTTCTGAGTCGGGCTGTGCCTGAGGTATCCTCCTCTCTTTCCTTCAGGGATGACAAGCCTGTATCATCCCTTTGTTCTTAGCTGTGTTTTGAGTTGGGCTTTTGTCTCTTGGGTTCCCTTCTCCCTTTCTCCCTGTCCCTAATACCTTATGGCTCTCCAAGTCCTCTTCAATGCGTCCTGCCTGCTGCTTCACAGTGAATGTGTAGCTTGGCTCTGGGTATTTTAATGACTGACGTAATAAGGGACCATGAAAGAGACCCTACTAAGGCAAGGATTCAATA